TGATGCTTTGTATGCATTTAGAATGTAGCCCATGGAACAGCATAGCTAAGGGAGTGGTTCTTGACATAGCCAGGAGGTAGCCATAGCAACCAGTTTAAATTAAGTAACAGTTGGTGAGTTGGTGGCGGGGTTTTATCAGGAGTATATATATCAGCCATTTTAACCCCTTAAGACTGGAGGGCGTACAATTACGCCCTATTTTAGGCGGCTCTAAACGCCGCCGGGTGTAATTGTACGCCCTCCGGTCTTTCTTTACTTACCCGGTCGCCGGCGTGCGGTGGGGGGACTCCCAGGGAGCCCCCCCGCGGCAGATCCTCCTCCTCCGGTGCCCACCGGCCATGTGAGAGTGAGGTCCTTGCGAGGACCCCATAATCACATGGCCGGGTAGGCTGCCTCCTGCATTGCCAGCAGGGGGGCTGCCTGTAATTACAGGTGGTCCCCTTGCTGGCTGAAAATAAAATAAAAAAAAGTTAATCAGTGTAAAAAAAAAATATATATATACTTAGATCATATATATATATGATCTAAGTATATATATATATATACACATATACATACACACATACACTGTCTAGGTGTATTTTACTATTAATATATATATATATATATATATATATATATAAATATATAATTATATAAAAGAAAAAGAGATCCTGCACTCCATCAAATGCAAAAAAGTTCCAATGCCCGGTGCTTGTCCAGCACAATACAGAAAGAAAAATAGGATAGCACTCTCAGGACTATATATGAAAAATAAAACTTAACTTTTAATAGCTTATAACAAATATCGACGTTTCAGTCTGTTAATACCAGACTTTCATCAGGATTCTGATGAAAGTCTGGTATTAACAGAATGAAACGTCGATTTTTGTTATAAGCTATTAAAAGTTAAGTTTTATTTTTCATATATAGTCCTGAGAGTGCTATCCTATTTTTCTTTCTATATATATATATATATATATATATATATATATATATATATATATTAATATCAAATTACACGGAGACTGATACCGATTAAATATATATATAATTATTGTTATATATATTTTTATTTAATATAAAAAAATTAAATATGTAAATACGTTAAAAAATTAAATTAAAAAAATTATTAAAAAAAATTATTAAAATATATAGATGTGTGTTATTTTGTTGTAACTGTATTGTGATATTAATATATATATATTTATATCAAAATACACGTAGAACGAAATAATATATATATCTACATACATAAATATATACGTATATATCACTATATATATACCTATATATAAATAAAAATATTTAAAAAAAATTATATATATATATACACATATAGATTCACATACGTATATATATACATATATTAATTCTACATATATATTTATGTAATATTTTTACATAATTAGGTATCTTAATTAATTACAATTAGCGGGACCTGCCTGACAACCCATGCCGAAAGTAAAGGGAATTTAATTTGCTAGCACTATATTCAACCCTATAACTTTCCAAGACACCATACAACCTGTACATGGGGGTACTGTTCTACTCGGGAGACTTTGCTGAATACAAATATTAGTGTTTCAAAACAGTAAAATGTATTACAACGATGATATCGCCAGTAAAATGAAGTTTTTTGCATTTTTCATGCACAAACAGCAGTTACACAGACGATATTATTGCTGTGATACTTTTTACTGTTTTGAAACACAAATATTTGTGTTCAGCGAAGTCTCTCGAGTACAACAGTACCCCTCATGTACAGGATTTATGGTGTTTTCAAAAGTTACAGCGTCAAATATAAGGTTTGCGTTTCATTTTTTTCACATTAAAATTCGCCAGATTGGTTACGGTGCCTTTGAGACCCTATGGTAGCCCAAGAATGAAAATTACCCCTATGATGGCATACCATTTGCAATAGTAGACAACCCAAGGTATTGCAAACGGGGTATGTCCAGTCTTTTTTAGTAGCCACTTAGTCACAAACACTGGCCAAAATTGGCGTTTTTTGCATTTTTCACACAAACAAATACTAACGCTAGCTTTGGCCAGTGTTTGTGACCAAATGGCTACTAAAAAAGATTGGACATACCCCATTTGCAATACCTTGGGTTGTCTACTATTGCAAATGGTATGCCATTGTGGGTGTAAATGTAACGTGCTATATTTGACCCTGTAACTTCCCAAAATGCCATAACACCTGTACATAGGGGGTACTGTTTTACACGTGAGACTTTGCTGAATACAAATATGTGTATTTTATTGCAGTAAAAGCAAACAGTATTATGACATTGACAGTTAAAATGTCATGTAGAGCTAAAAAAATTTAAAAAATCTTATTTTCTCCCATTTTTTTCATATTAAATTATGTTTCATAGCTAAATATTTGATATTAAATGAAAGCCATGTTTCCCCTCAAAGAGCGATCACATGGCCCCCTATAGCTGGCTGTGGATCTGCCAGCAGGGGGACTGTCTGAAATGTCAGACAGCCCCTCTGCCGGTGAGAGCTGTAAAAAAAATATATTAAACAGGTTTTAAAATACATTATATATATATATATATATATATATACACACACACACATACATATGTAACATCACACAAAGTGTATTTTAATACTAATATAAGTACATATATTAGTATTAAAATACACTTAGAATGACGTTACATATATATATATATATATATATATATATATATATATATATACACACACACACACATAAACACACACACTCACACGTTTAATTACAATAATAAAATAAATAAAATATATTGAAACAAAATTTTATATAAATTATATATTCATATGTAATTTCATTCTAACTGTATTTTGTTATTAATTAATATATATATATATATATATATATATATATATATAACAAAATACATTTAGAATGACAATCTATCTATCTATCTATATACAAAATACAAATAACCGCAAATAAATAAATATAATATATATATATATATATTAAATTTACATAAAAGATTACATTATTATACACGTAGAATTTAAATACCTATAGATGCATATATATTAAAATTCTACATGTATATTTAAGTAATCTTTTAACATAATTATGTGATTTGATTAATTAAAATTTGATTGACATGCCTGACATCACAGGGAGAAAGTGCAGAGAATGTAATTTTATTAAAGGACACGGGGGCTCTTATTAGGCTTATCTCTTTCTTTTATTCCTCAGCAGCAAAGAAAGGCTAAGGTGTTTATTTGTAGAAAAAAGAAAAGAAACATGTATAACTACCCTCACAGGGTTAACATCAGGGCCGGACTGGCCCACCGGGATACCGGGAAATTTCCGGGTGGGCCGTCGGCACCTGGGGCCGGCCCTTTAAATACTGCAGCCGCCTGAGCGCTCTGTGAAGAGCGGTCAGGCGGCTGCAGCTTCTCCCCTGTAGCGTGGCCGAGCTGCACTCCGGACCGCGGTGGCCGGCCAGAGTGATAGGAAGGTGCACACTTAGTGTGCACTTCCTGTCAGTCCGGCCGGTGACAGGAAACAGAAACTCCTGTTCTGCGCGGAGTTCCTGTTTCCTGTAACCGGCCGGACTGACAGGAAGATACACTCGAATGCCCTATATCACTCCGACGACTTACCACTGGACTTGAAAGATACCTTCATTTCTATAAAGGAATAGGGGAATAAGAAAGAGGAAGATAGAAAGAGGGAAGGAGGGATAAGAAAGAGGGAGGGAATAAAAAGAGGGAATAAGAAGAGGGAGGGAGGAGTTAAGATGAGGAGGAATAAAAAGAGGGAATAGAAGGGAGGGAATAAGAAGAGAATAAGATGAGGGAGGGGAATAAGAAAGGGGAGGAGGGAATAAAAAAGAGGAGAGGCAATAAGATGAGGGGAGGGCAGAAGGGGGATAAAATGAGGGGAGGAGGATAAGAAAGAGGGAGGGAATACAAAGGGGAGGGAATAAGAAGAGGGAGGGAGGGATAAGAGGGAGGGAGGGAATAAAAGGGAGGGCAATAAAGATGAGGAGGGAATAAGAAGAGGGGAGGAGAATAGGAAGAGGAGGGAATAAGATATAGAGATAAAAAAGAGAGGGGGAATAAGAAGAGTGGAGGGGGGGAATAAGAAGAGGGGAGGGGGGGAATAAGAAGAAGGGGCAGCTCTGTCGTATATAATTTACTGCAAACCAATTAGTTTGAATGACTATCTGTTCCTGTCCAAATTAAAGATAATAAAGTTGCGTGCACGCAGAAGTAAATTCACACTGAGACACAAGGTTCAGGGTAATGAAAGAACTTCAGAGAAGTTTAATAGCTTCTGACAGAAAATGGGTGCGCAGACCCTTATAAAGGCATTATTACATCATTGAAGAAAATCAAGATATAGACAAATAGACATTGTTAATTGGCTTAGGTGCTAAGATGTTAGTAAAATGCCCTCCCCATTCTTAGGTCACTATCTACGTAATTTCTTAACTCCTACAGGTTTTTAGCGCCATTTTGTTAACATGAGGAGCTCACTCGACGGGAGGGGCCTTTTGGCAGCTATCCATTTAGAGCGTAACTGGCACTTGTTAGTTTCTCAAGGCTAGGTTTCAAGGCTTTTAGTAAATACACATTTTATCAAAGCTATTTCTTGCTGGCATGCAAATTCTATGTTCTATAGACAGAGCTTTCTTGTAAAACTATGGGGGCCTCTTAGAGGTATAGCAAGAGGATTTAAAGGGGCCTTACAGATTTATAGAGGCCTAATAATTCTACAACAGTCCCCCCTAAAATGTTATTTGCTAAAAGACAAAACTTTATTTGTTAGTATCAGAAGATGTATTAGCCCAAAGACACAGAAACCCCATGACCGCTGACTTAGTGTTAATGCAAAGTGCAAGTCTATCCCTCTCTTGACCCTAACAGGCTGCAGCACATCCGTCAGTACGGTTCAGGAACACTCTTCACTCCGCTGGTAACCCATAGTGGCTTATCCACTACTTCTCCGTACGGCAGTCTACCCATAAAGACGGACGCTGTCCCTGTACTGTCCCTTCCTAGACTTTCTGCACTTCATCAGTATAAGGGAGAGTTTGTAGCGGAATACAGGGTGAGATGAGGTCTTGATCATCGATTGTCAGATAAGTGAAGGTTGGTGTTGCTTGGTCTACAGTTTTCTGCAGGAATTTCCTTAGGCATGGGAGGACACAACAAATGAGAAGAGCGAGAATAAAAAGAAAAATTAGTAAGGCAATACCAATCTGGAATAAAGCTCTCTGCCAACCAGTCATCCAACCAAACCATTTTTCCCAGGGATCAGTAACTCCAGAGTTTCTCTTTAACTCTTCTGAGAGTCTATTTAATTTAGCTATGGCCAGAGTGACTTTACCATTAGGACCTGTGTTTTCTGGAATGTAAGTGCAACAAGTCATAGTGTCGGGTAGTATTTTACAGACCCCCCCCTTTTTCGGCTAAGATCATGTCTAAGGCCAGTCTGTTCTGGAAGGTCATTTGGGATGTGGCCTGTAATTGCTCGGCCAAGCCCTGGAGGGCATCCCTGGTGTAGTTCACGAAGCGCTGTTGGTTGTAATAAATGTAGTTAATCCAATTAAGGTTTTTGTTGGCAGTGACTATAGTGAACAGTGATTCAAAACCTGCAGCTACATTAGGTACCTCCCTAGGCACCCCAATGGCATCTATGTAAATGTGGGGGTCAAAACTGCCTTTTACTGGGGTTTCGCACCTTACTCTGGCTGGTGTATGTGGAGGGTCGTATGTGTCATTTACTATGGTTAAATCTTGGAACTCATTTTCCAGGAAATGATGTGGCCATGCTTTTAGGTGGTCAGTTGTTGGATATTTGACAACACCATTTTCCTGTAGCTGTGATTCGTCCATAGTGGCCCATACGTTTGCCATAGGCCCAAGATCATTCCATGATATTATTTTCAACTTGGTCACAGGGACATGTGGAATGGCAGTGTCCCAATGACGGTACAAATGCTTGAGTTCCGGAGGTAGATGAATCAAGACCATACTGTTGCCTTCAGAATCACAGTAGAAGTCTTGTGCAGTGAGTTTTACTTCGACCAGATGATAGAGTTCATCTTTATAGCAGGGTTCAGGAGTGATGTTTGGTTTGTACCACATGGTACAGAAGGCATATCCTGCTCCGTCATGAAGGAGTGCTTGTCCATCATGAAAGGATAGGTTGGGATGCCTTTCCTTCTTGATGGTGCCAGTGAGAAGAAAAACATAAGTTTTGTCCATGATGAATCCGTAGTATACACCCCCCTCAGGGAGTGGCAGAAGAGTGGACGGATTGAGAACTTGACATCTTTGAAGGGTAATGTTGTCAGGCAACAAAAGGTGACATTGAAGGCGAAGATGCCTAGCAGGAGTAACATGCTTAAGTTGGACCTGGTTGACTATGGCAGAAATATCATGAGGGGCCAAGACAACCAGGGGGTGGCCAAGGACAAGATCCCCAGTTCTTTCAATGAGCTCTCTGGCAGCAAAGACGGCCCGAAGGCAAGAGGGACGTCCTCTGGCCACAATATCCAGTTGGCAGGAGAAAAATCCAATAGGCCTTTGGCGGCCTCCAGGACCATGGGCCTGAGTGAGCACTCCTGTTGCATGGCCTTGTCTTTCAGAAACAAACAATTTGAAGGGTTTGGTATAGTCTGGTAGGCCAAGAGCAGGAGCAGAAGCAATAGCACGTTTGAGAGAACAGAAGTTATCAAGGGCTTCTGTGAACAAGCAAAATGGGTCTGACTTGAGAGCATCCTAAAGAGGTTGCATAAGGAGTGAGGCTTCTGGGATCCATGCTCGGCAATAGGAAATGAGGCCTAGGAAGGCGTGTAGTGACTTTGAGGTCCTTGGAGGTGGAATGTCCAGTACTGCTCTTACTCGGTCACGAGTGAGATGTCTGGTTCCCTGAGACAGACAATGGCCAAGGAAGATAACAGTAGGTTGGCAGAATTGCAGCTTGAGACGTGAAGCTTCACATCCTTGTTCTGCTAGATAGTAAAGAAGATGAATTGAGCATTGTTCTGTTGTGGGTAGATCATCTCCACAGTAAAATGGGAAGTGAACAAAGAACTGTAGTGTCTTTTCGTGACAAAGGTGTATTTAATTGAACCTGGCCGTCTGCAGTGAGGGTGATGGATGCTTGGAGGCGGGATAGGACATCAGCACCAACACAAGAGACATCGGTGTCAGGCAGGAACGATGAGTCAGGCAGGTCTTGTTCTCTAGGAACACTGCGGGATGCACCTGTGTTAACCAGGAAACCAGGAAAGTAGTAGGGTGTCCTTCAATAGGTAAAGTTACAGTGGCTAGTGGCCCCCCTTGTTCCCTGTAGACACTGCCATGGCAGGGGCATTAAGCATCAGCGGGTTTGCTCTCCTCTGTATGGGCTGTGTTACTGACTCAAACCCCTTTCTATGTCATTAGCCATAGCTTTTTGCAGTCTGAACATGTCTATCATTATAAATAACTGTTAATAGTAAGTGAAGTAAAGTTCCTATATGTCTTTGGATAAAACATTAACGATTGCGGTACTATCATTTATATCAATTAGACTACAACAATTATACCACCCTGTAACTATAATAAACAACCAGTAGTGGCTGGGTTAATAAAACATATCACTAATCCTTCTAATGCTAAACCATCATTTAAAGTAAAGGATGTTACTGTAAACATAAGATCTGTAACTAGCAAGATTTGATTAAGTAAAGATACAATGTTTAAAATAACTTGCATTATTTGGCTATTTCCCTTGTTGCAAGATTAATCTGGATAATCAGCTGTTATGCTCTTATATTCGTGTCCAACAGATCTCATTTGTAGGTCACACCACAGTTGCAAATTACATTTTAGCAACCTTCTTTTTTTTATATCACGGACACATTGTTGATACAGGGAAACAAATGGCATGATTGTTTTAGTAATTATAATGTTTCTGTTCATAATATGTAGAGTGTAAGGAAAACAACATGTCTCTAAATAGGACGAGCATAATAGGGGTAGGCCTCATGATGGAGGCAGCCATGACAGGGGCGGGGAAGGAAATGACAGCAAGGGAGGAAGTGAGATGACGTCCATGATAGGTGTGGGAAAGGAAGACAGGAGGTGTGGGCATGGTAAGGGCGGAAGTGACGTTACTTTAGAAGCAACCGTGACTGTAGATAGGTCACGGGACTGGCAGGGTCAACCTCCTTCTGTACTAGGCGCCATCTTTAGGGTGGTGGCTGATGCATTTTCAACAATACACTATATTAAAACTATTAAAATAAGTCAGAGAAGCAACATTCTGTTCTGCAAAATGAAATACTAAACTATGAACAGACCTGGCAGGTTAAATAAGACAGTTGAGAACATTATGCATTTAACAGCCCATACAGCTGTTTCTAGAAACATGTACTTTAAAATAACTTTAAAATAATAAAATGATGCAAAATAAACTCACGGAATTCAACCAATTTCCCTTATCATCCTCCAACCAATAAATCACTTTCCTCCTCTTATACTGACTTAACAACATCGCATATTCCCTCTATCAGTGTTAACAGGCTACACCTTCCTAAATCCCGTATTCAACACTGAATGCAATCTTGTGAGCTCGTCACTCCCACAATCCTCAGTACCTTATACTCTTATCAGTAGAAATGCAGGCAAGCGGGGAGGAGAGGGGGGGAGAAAGTTAGACAGTGCAAAAAAGGGAGTGAAGCTGCAGGCATGAAGATTAACCATGTGAGTGCTGGAAAGTAACAAGACAGAAGGACAGAGACTTATACGTTTGGAAACCAGAAATCTTTGACGGGAGAAACGGACTGGAGGTGCAGGGAGCTGCAGAGAGAGGATGAGGGTGACGAGATCTGTAGGACTGATGGGGGGGGGGAGAATAGGGATCCATCAGCATCCAGTAACACAATTATTATAATACACAAACAATCTTAAACCTTTGTGATCAATATCTTCCTCAACCTATCCCTTTTGCTGAATAGCTCTTGCTACTCGGTATCAGGCTTCTGCTGTACAAACCAAATCTTGGTCCGACAGCTTCCCTTTCTTCTCTGTCAGTAACTTACGCCAGCTCTCTGGCTACAATCTGCCGCACAGAGGTACGGTAATTCCACATACTTTAGCAATCTTCCTCACTTTCTTAACCATCTCTTCTCCTTCTCTGTCTTCCACTAGATCACATGCTAACCAACCCTTACTGGGTTTATCTAACTTCTGTCCCATCCTCCCTATATAAGGCGTCCCAGATATAGAGAGAGAAAGGAACAGAACGTCTACCGTGCTCGACTGCTACTTTAAGAGCAAGCTCTTTAAGTACGTCTTCCCAAAACGTAGACTAGTCACTGATTCCGCCTACCCGTGGTAGCCGCGGATTGGAGCGTGGCGAGAAGTGTGTGACCAATCACTTCTCTCAACAGAGAAAGAGAAATAGGAGGGGAAAGTGTAAATAGTACAGTGAGTAAGATAGAAGTAAACACAGGAATCTGTGTGACAGACAATTAAGACAATAACATTTCAGTGTAAATACAGTGCATGCATCACAGTTCAAATAAGTTCAACAGTTTTATCCCTTGCCTTTACTCGTGTGGCCAAAAGCCACCTCCCTCAACCTCGCAGTGTCCCTGTTGCGGACCCACCCGCAAGTCTCACTACCAGCAGCCACAGGAAACAGCAACAGCTTCCAACCCGAATCCTGTATAGCCTAAAGAATTGGAATCTTACCTGCCTCAGCGCTCGAGGCTGGAATTTTACCAAGAAGCTAAGCGGTCAAAATGACACTCTGGGGAACCCCCAGGAAGCAATGAGTCTACATCATCCTCCACAGATTCCCCCTTACTCTTTTTCCTTACAGCCACAGCCACGTGGCTCCTAAAAGGAGTTAAACAGGCACTTACACTCCCCGGGTAGACTAAGTTAAACACATACCAATACAAACACACCCAGGCAACAGATAGTCAACATGCTGGTAAATTAAGTATCATTAACAATACAAAGACTCTGGGCAAGTTATTACCTGACTTTGATGTCCTCTCGGCAGCAGTCACAGACACTGGAACAGGTCAATCACAGGGGTAGGAACATACCGGCTAGGTGCTGCAGCAATCTCTACCGTGTACTCAGAGGTGATCAGGCTCTTTTCCTTCCCCCAGGATTCACCCCCCCAGCATCTTCTTGGACAGCTGCCCAGACAGGACATAGCCCAGAGCCCCACGTTGGGCGCCAATTTGTCGTATATAATTTACTGCAAACCAATTAGTTTGAATGACTATCTGTTCCTGTCCAAATTAAAGATAATAAAGTTGCGTGCACGCAGAAGTAAATTCACACTGAGACACAAAGTTCAGGTTAATGAAAGAACTTCGGAGAAGTTTAATGGCTTCTGACAGAAAATGGGTGCGCAGACCCTTTTAAAGGCATTATTACATCATTGAAGAAAATCAAGATATAGACAAATAGACATTGTTAATTGGCTTAGGTGCTAAGATGTTAGTAAAATGCCCTCCCCATTCTTAGGTCACTATCTACGTAATTCTTAACTCCTACAGGTTTTTAGCGCCATTTTGCTAACATGAGGAGCTCACTCGACGGGAGGGGCCTTTTGGCAGCTATCCATTTAGAGCGTAACTGGCACTTGTTAGTTTCTCAAGGCTAGGTTTCAAGGCTTTTAGTAAATACACATTTTATCAAAGCTATTTCTTGCTGGCATGCAAATTCTATGTTCTATAGACAGAGCTTTCTTGTAAAACTATGGGGGCCTCTTAGAGGTATAGCAAGAGGATTTAAAGGGGCCTTACAGATTTATAGAGGCCTAATAATTCTACAACAGCTCTATAGGACAGGGGCCAAGACAGGGAGCTCTTTCACACTACACACGCACACACACACACAATGCATCCCTATACATACACAGAAACACAGCATGCTTCCCTTACACACAGAGAAACACACAATGCATCCATTACACACACACACACAATGCAACCCTTACACACAAAGACAATGCATCCTTTGCACACATACACAGAAACAGACAATGCAAACCCGTACACACGCATGCAAACACACACACTTCTTTTCTTACATACACACAGAAACACAATGCATCTCATGCACACACATACAGACACACACCTTGCATCCCTTATGCATACAAACACAGATTCACACAATGCATC